TCGGTTCCTCCCGGTGAGGCTGCGCCCCTCCCCGCGCCTGGAGACCAGCCAAGCCCTCGGGGGAGTCAGGCTCAGACCTTGGCCCGGCTGCTGCCACGCTCCCCGCTCCGTCCCGAGCCGCCAGTGGCCGCGAGCCCTGCCCGAGGCCTGGCCGCACAGGCCTCCCGCCCCCAGGCAGCCATGTCTGCTTTGGATTTGGGGTTGACCTCAGATACCCAGGTCCATGCGCAAATCCACTCAAATGGATTAGAGACCTCGACATCAAACTGAAACTACTGCAGGACGGAGTAGCCAGACACTGGAACGGAGGCACAGCGGGGACTCGTCAAACGGGACTACCTAAAATAACAAGCCTCTGCGCTGCCCGAGACATCGCAGCCAGGCCAGAAAGACAGCTTACCAGCAATCTATCAGACAGGGCCAATAGCCAGTATACACAGGGAACTCAGACGAACCCCCCAAACCTAAGGAGCCAATTACTGAATGGGCGAGGGAACAAGAGAGACTTCCCAGAAGAGATAAAAATGGCAAAGAAACTCATAAGGAGATGTTCACCATCCCTGGTTTAAAGGAAATGCAAATAAAGACAGCCCTGAGATATCAGAGCTGAGGGCAGGCCCACACGGCCAGCCCAACCCGCTCCTCCCGAGTGGGGCGCCACCCTCTGGGTGGGACCCTCCCAAGTGGGACGGCCTTGGGGCCTGCTCTGGTGAGCCCCACTAATAAGAACCCACCCCCTCCCTCCATGTCAGTTGCTACAGCCCCTCCTGAGGCTTAGGGGCCCCAGTAACTCCAGGGCAGCAAGTCCTGCTGGGTCCCACAGGGTGCCGGCCCAAGGAGGGGTTGGGTGACCCTTGGGCTAGCCTGGTGTGCGTGCGTGCATGTGCACGCACGTGTGTGTGTGTGTGTGTGTGTGTGAGAGAGAGAGAGAGAGAGAGAGAGAGAGAGAGAGGTCTATAACCTTTCCCAGGTCTGGACCCTAGCTGTGTGGTCACCCCAGCTAGCGCTTGGGGGAGCCCTGAGTGTGGAAGTGGCCGTTGGTGCCATGCTGGCCCCTCCAGCTGCGCCCCGCGGTGGGCAGGCGTGTGGGCAGGCACGCTGGCCCTGGCCCCGGAGCTGTGGCTCCCGCGGGTGCCACCCAGGCTGTGGAGCCGGCTAGGGTTCTCTTGGAGAGTTTGAAACGTTTGCTCACCTCTTGTGCACAATGCCTGCTCCTCTGGCGGCTTTTGGGGTGGTGTGGCCTGCCCTTCCCTCCTGTGGTTTGTGGGTGTCCCTCTCCCATCCCCTGCAGATGGGCTGGCCCTGCCGAGCTCTTCTCAGACTCTGGCTGTGACAAATTAGGTCACAAGAAGGCCAACTGCTGCTCTCCTTCCCTCTGCGTCCTTCTCAGAGCCGGGTCCAGGGAAAAGAGTCCTGTGACCAAGGTCAGCAAAGGCAAGGGCCAGCAACAGTGCGGGGTGAGCTGGGAGAGCGGAGCCCTTCCCGGTGCCGGTGGTGCTGGTGGGGGTGGGGTGTCGGCTGACCCCTGAGGCTCCTGACCTTTAGGAAAGTGAGGCTTGTTGTTTTACACCGCTCAGGTGGAGGCAGTTTGTTCTTTAGCAGTAAGTTCTTAATGTAGCTATGGCACACCTGACGAGAGAGCATGACCCTACAGATACATGGTAAAGCTGGAGTCCCTCTGGGTTCTGCGGAGGGTGGTGACTAAAAGCTAAAGCATCTTGGCACACCATACCCAGCTTACTACTTGAGATGAGGTCTCTTAACTTTTTGTCCAGCTTGGCATGATTCTCCCACTCTACCTGCTGAACATCTGGGATTACCAGCATGAATCGCTGCTCTTGGCCTGACAACCAGATTTCGAGGATGCTGGTGGGAGTAGGGGTTAGGGTAGAGAAGGAAGTGAGGCTGAGTTGTGAGAAACTGGAGGACCTGGTTCGGTGGTGGGATGGGGGAGCTCAGCGGCGCTGACTTCCGGCCAGTGCACTGAGGTTCCTCCTGGCAGAGGGCCTAGGCGGGGCTAATTCTTGCCTAGAGCAAACAATGGGGAACCATCACTAGAGAATGAGGGGTCCCCTCAGTCCCCCAGGCTCTACATAAAGTCTCGGGTTCTTAAGAGCCACAGGGGAGAAGCACTTGAGCATGGCTCACACCAGGCCTTTCAGAGGTGAATGTTTTTAGTAACACTTACGTTAGTCTAGCAAGTGAAAGTAGAGCTAGAAAGGAATGCTCGCTGCATCCCATGCAGGGAGTGGGGGTAAACGGGCCGAAACGGCAGCTGCTCTCTGCTGCCCCTCATTCTGAGTTGGGGAGCATGTTTTGTGGTAGACTCTAGCAACCCCAACCCTTAGGGAAAAAATGCAAAAATCCCTGGTATGGCTCATGGGGTAGAGTACCTGTCCAGCAAGCACAAAGCTTAATACTGCTCTCTAAAAGAGAAAGGGAGAGGGGGACTGGCTTTCAAGCAAATCAAATGGAGCTGAGGGTTTGGTTATAAACCTTTCATGAAGACCTTAGAAAGATCAAAGGTGATACAGTGGGTTGTTTCTTTGCTTTTTGCTTTTTCCCGTTTTGGGGGCTAGTGCTGGGGCTTAGACTCAGAGCCTTGTGCTGTCCCTGAGCTTTTTTGATCAAGGCTAGTGCTCTACCATTTAAAATGGTCTGCTTCTGCTTATTTGGTCATTGATTAGAAACCAGAGAGTTTCACGGATCCCTCCCACCCCCTCAGCTTTGAACAGAGATCCTCAGATCTCAGCCTCCTGAGTAGCTGGGATTACAGGCCTGAGCCACCAGCTTCCACAGTAATTCTTTTGCTGTGTCCCTTTGTGATGTGTTTTCATTTTCCTTGAATTGTAGGAACTGATTTCTTCTTTAATTTGTTCTGTGACCCAGGTGTTAGTAGCGTGCTGTTCAGCCTCCATGTATTTGAGTAATTTCTGCAGTATGCTTCGTTGTTGAGAACTGTGGTCAGATAGGATGCAAGGGATTGGGCCAGTCCTCTTGTATTGTGTAAATCCTTTGTGTGAATTATGACATGATCTATTTTGGAGAATGTTCCATGGGGTGCTGAGAAGAATGTGTATGGGGGCATTGCTGAGTGGAAAACTCTGTAGGTGTCTGTTAGGCCCATTTAGGTTACAATATCACTTAGTCCAGAGGCTTCTTTGCTTGTCTTTTGTTTGGTTGACCTGCCCTTTGGTGAGAGTGAGGTATTAAAGTCTCCCACTTTTGTTGTTGTTGTTGTTGGTCATGGGGCCTGACCTCTGGGCCTGGGCGCTGTCCCTCAGCTCTTCAGCTCAAGGCTAGCGCTCTACCACTTGAGCAACAGCGCCAATTCTGGCTTTTTCTGCTTGTCTCCCACTGTTACTGTGTTTGTGTCCACCTTGTTCTGTAAGTAAATATGAAAGTGTTTAATGTATTTAGGTGTTCCATTGTTTGGTGCACAGATGTTGACCACTGTGATTTCCTCTTATTTCATTCCCTTTATTGGTATGTAATGACCTTCCTTGTTTTTTTGTACTGATTTTAGTCAGAAGTCTATTTTATCAGGTATCAGTATGGCAACCCCTGGCTTCTTGCAGGATCCATTTATGCCGGGAAGATCTTCCCTCCCGTCACTCAGAGTTTGTTTTATCTTTGGCTGTGAGATGCGTCTCTTGGAGACAACAAATGGATGCATCTTGTTTTCTGATCCACCCTACAGGTCTTTTTTTCTCTTTCTCTCTTTCTTTCTCTCTCTCTCTCTTTCTTTCTCTCTTTCTTTTCGTCAATAGTGGGGCTTGACTCTGGGCCTGGGCGCTGTCCCTCAGCTCTTCAGCTTGAGGCTGGCGTTCTACCACTTGAGCCATAGCACCACTTCCGGCTTTTTCTGCTTATGTGGTGCCGAGGAAATTGACCCCAGAGCCCCGTCCATGTGAGGCAAGCACTCTACCACTGAGCCACCTTCCCAGCCCAGTTCTTTTTCTTTTGATTGGTGAATTGAGTCCATTAATATTTATGGTTATTATAGAGAGATGCATTGTTTCCTGCCATTTTCTTGCTTTCTTGCATTTTGCTTCTTTCCTTACTCCTGTGCTTACTAAATTGATCTCCTAGTGATTTCTACCTGATGTGGTTCCCTGATCTTGATTATTTTCTTCAGGTTGTATTCCTCCTTTTAGTATTTTTTGTAGTCCTGGCTTATTGTTCATGAATTCCTTTAATTTTTCTTTGTTATTAAAAATTTTAGTTTCTCTGTCAAATGTGAATGTTAGCTCCACAGGCTGTACCAGTCTGGGCTGCCAGTTGTTGGTTTTCAGGGCTTGGATAGATAGTACTTTCCCAGGCTCCCTTGTGATGAGGGTTTGTGTGAAGAGGTCTGCAGTGATTCTGATTTTCTTTCCATTGTAATATAGTTCCTTCTTTGATTTTGGAGCATTTAAAATCAGCTCTTTGCAACTCAAGTCTACTGTCTTTACTATGATGTGTCTAGAAGTGTTTCTTCTAGGATCCTGTCTACTAGGTGAGGTTTCCTCTTTTGAGATTGGGGAAATTTGCTGTAATAATCTTATTGAATAAGAGTTGTATTCCTCTATTCTGGTATTCTTCTCCTTCATCGATCCCACTTACATGAAGATTAGAGTTCTTGACATTGTCAGTTCTTGGACTTCCCTTTGGTAATTTCTGAGTGTTTTTTCCATATATATGACTTTCTTCTCTAGCTTCTCTTTTATCTTTCAACTATTGATAGTTTCCCTTTAATTTATTCTGTTACCTATGACTTCCATTGTGATTTGTATTGCAGAAATTGATCCATTTATGGTTTCTATGTCTGCTCTCAAAGTTTTAATTTAATTAATTAATTAATTTATTTTTGTCAGTCATGAAGCTTGAACTCTGGGCCTGGGTGCTGTCCCTCAGCTCTTCAGCTCAAGGCTAGCGCTCTACCACTTGAGCCATAGTACCATTCTGGTTTTCTAGTGGTTTATTGGAGATAAGAGTCTCACGGACTTTCCTGCCCCAGCTGGCTTTGAATTGTGATCCTCAGATCACAAGGATTACAGGCGTGAGCCAATGGTGCCCAGCCTCGGTAATTCTTAATCACAAAAAGATCCTTTAAAAAAGACCAAAGAAAGCCGGGCGCTGGTGGCTCACGCCTGTAATCCTAGCTACTCAGGAGGCTGAGATCTGAGGATCGCGGTTCAAAGCCAGCCCGGGCAGGAGAGACCATGAGACTCCTATCTCCAATAAACCACCAGAAAACCGGAAGTGGCGCTGTAGCTCAAGTGGTAGAGCGCTCGCCTTGAGCTGAAGAGCTGAGGGACAGCACTCAGGCCCAGAGTTCAAGCCCCACGACTGACAAAAAAAAAAAAAAAACCAAAGAAGCTGGGCACCAGTGACTCATGCCTTTGATTCTAGTTATTTAGGAGGCTGAGACCTGTGGATTGTGGTTCAAAGCCAGTTTGTGTAGGAAAGCTCATGAGACTCATCTCCAATTAGCTACCAAAAAAAAAAAAAAAAGTCTGAAGCAGAGCTGTGGCTCAAGTGGTAGAGCACTGGCCTTGAACATGAAAACTCAGGGACAGCACCCAGCCCAGAGTTCAAGCTCTAGGCCCAGCACAAAAACTACAGAGCCCGTCCTGACCACGGGAGCGCGCAGCACGCGGGGCGTCTCCCCAGCCGCAGCAAGGAAGGGCTTCTCTCGGCGGAGACTTGGACTCTGTCTTTTCTCGAATGGGTGACCTCAAATCACAGGCGTCCACGGAGGTTTGAAAGTGTTCCATCAGCCTAGTTACCAAGTACAAGCAGAAAGGGCAAGGCTAAGGGACGGGGGACTGGGACCCATGGCCCTCCTGGCCGGAAGCCGGCTGGCACACTGCATGGCGCAAACACGTGCACTCCTCCGTGAAGAAGAACGCGAGGATGCCCGCACAGAACGCCTTAATTACCGACCTGCTGGGTCGTTCCCAGCATTTGCCAGTGTAGACAGTGTTCCCAGGCAGTGCCACCCGCACCGCTGGGCCAGCCGGGAGGAGAGGAGAGGCAGGGCCAGGCCCTGGGGCTTCATGGGTGGCTGGGAGGAGCTATGCTGCAACCCCCTCCCCTTCCTCCTCCTCCTCTTCCCTCCTTTCTCTTCTCTTCTTCCCCTTCCTCCTCTTCCCTTCCCTCCTCCTCCCCCCTTCTTTTCTTCTCCTCTTCCTTCCCTCCTCCTTTTTTCCCTCCTCCTCCCCCTTTTTCCCTTCCTCTCCTTTCCTCCTTCCCTTCCTCCTCCCCTCCCTACTTCTCCTCCTCTTCCTTCTCCCCCCCCCACATAGGACTATGAGTGATGCTTAGCTTTGCAGTTAGTTATAGGCCATAGCATATGAGCTGGCACTGCCTTGATTTTGGAGTAATTAATGTGATCTAGGAATAACCATCCTGATTCTCTGCACCTGGAGAAAGGCTGAGAGCATCTTTTGTTTAGAAAAATAATCACCTTTCC